ATTTGTCCTTTTGCAACTGACGTACTTAGCTCAGCATGATGTTTTCAAGGTTCTTCCATGTAGTGACATGCATCAATATTTCATTTATCTTTATGGCTGAGTAGTATTCCATTGTATGTATATACCACATTTTGTTCATTTGTTTGTTTGTTTGTTTATCCATTCATCTATTGGTGGGCATTTTAGTTGTTTCTACCTTTTGGCTATTATGAAAAATGCATCAATGAACATTTGTGTACAACTTTCTGTCTATGTTCATGCCTTCACTTCTTCTGGGTATATGCATAGGATTGGGACTCCTGGATCATATGTTGTTGTTGTTGTTGTTATGTGCCGTCGAGTCGGACCCAACTCATAGCGACCCCTCCTTGGGTTTCCGAGGCAGTATCACTACAGAAGTAGGATTGCCCAACCTTCCTTCCGAGGAGTGGCTGGTGGGTTTGAACCGCCAGCCTTCTGGTTAGCAGCCAAATGCCTTAGCCACTAAGCTACCAGAGCTCCCCCTGGATCATATAGCAGTTCTATTTTCAACATATTGAAGAACTGATTAACAGTTTTGCACAATTGCTCCACCATTTTACATTCCCACCAGCAATGAATGAGGGTTCCAGTTTCTCTACAACCTTGCCAACAACTTTTGTTTTCTGTTTTTCTGATCATTACCATTCTCATCGGGATGAGGTGGTATCTCATTGTAGATTTGTTTGCATCTATCTAGTGGATAATGACATTGAGTATATCTCCATGTGCTTGTTGACCATTGAAATATTCTCTTCGGTGAAATGGTTTTTGCTCATTTTTTGATTAATTGAATTGTTTGTCTTTTTGTGATTAAGTTGTAGAAGGTTTTTAGGGGTGTTTTGTTTTGTTTTGAGATCCTTATTGGACATAGAGTTTCTGAAAATTTTTTCCCAATCTGTGATCTATAGGGTTTTCATTGACTAATTGACTGATGTAGATTGTATTGTCAGACCTTGTTTTTTCTAGTCTGTCTTAGTCTAGAAATTCTGCTGACACCTGTCCACTATGGGTGACACTGCTGGTATTTTAAATACCTAAATACTGATGGCATAGCTTTCAGCTTCATAACAACATGTGAGACACCATAGTATAACAAACTGACAAGCAGTTTTGGTATGATGTTTGCAGTGGATTATTCATAAATGCCTGTTATCATAATGAGGAATTTCTTTTCTAGTCCTACCTTGTTCAGTATTTTTATCATGAAAGGGCGGTGAATTTTGTCTAATACCTTTTCTGCACCAATTGAGATGAGCATGTTGTTCTTTTCCTTTGTTCTATTAATGTACTGTATTGCACTGATTGATTTGCTAATGTAAAGTATCCCTTGCATACCTGGGATATATCCCTCTTGGTCATGATGTATAAATCTTTTAATATGCTTCTGGATTGAATTTGCTAGTATTTTGTTGAGGATTTTTGCATCTATATTCAGAAGGGATATTAGTCTGTAGTGTTCTTTCTTATGTCTTTGACTGGCTTTGGTATCAGGGTGGTGATAGACTCATGAGTTAGGAAATGTTCCTATCTCTTCTATTTTTTGGAAAATTTAAGTAAGATCAGTCACTTCTTTCTGAAATGTTTGGCAGATTTCCCAGTAAAGCTATGTGGATCAGGACTTTTCTTTGTTGGGATGTTTTTGCTTGTTGAGTCAGTCTCTTTATTTGTTAAAAGTTGTTTGAGATCTTGTATCTCTTCTCGAGTCAAAGTAAAGAATTTATGTGTTTCTGGAAATTTGTCCATTTTATGCTAGTTATCTAATTTGTTGATGTACTATTATTCATAGTATTCTCTCATGAATCTTTTTATCTCTATAGGATTGGTTTTAATGTCCCTGCTTTCATTAAGGAGCTCTGTTAGCACAGTGCCTAAGGCAATTGACTGCTAACCAGATGGTTGGTGATTCAAACCCACCAGCCACTCTGTGGAAGCATTTGGTTATCATTATCTTGGGAAAAAATATAAATAATATTTTGGGAGCTCTGGTAGCGTAGTTCCTAAGGCATTTGACTGCTAACCAGAAGGCTGGCAGTTCAAACCCATCGGCTACTCTACTGATTTTGCATCTTCCCTCTTTTCCTTCATTAAAACCAAACCAAACTCACTGGTATCGAGTTGATTCTGACTCATAGCAATCCCTCCTTGGGCTTCTGAGGCAATATCTCTACAGAAGTAGATTGCCCAGTCTTCCTTCTGAGGAGTGGCTGGTGGGTTTGAACTGCCAGCCTTCTGGTTAGCAGTCAAATGCCTTAGGCACCACCACCACTTGTCTTTTCAAAAAACAACTTCTGGTCTTGATTTTCTCTATTGTTTTTCTATTTCATTTGTCTCTGCTCTGATCTTTGTTATTTTCTTTCTTCTGCTTGCTTTAGATTTGGTTTACTCTTCTTTTTCTTGTTCCTCAAGGTCTACAATTAGCTTATTGATTTACTTTTGTTTGTATTTGCAATGTAGGTTTCTACCACTATAAACTTCCCTCTGAGCACTACTTTCACTACATGCCATAAGTTTTGATATGCTGTGTTTTCATTTTCATTCATCTCTAAGTATTTTGTGATTTCTTCTTGATTTCTTCCTTGACTCATTGGTTGTTCAATAGAGTATCATACAATTTTCAGATATTTGTGTTTTCCAATTATTATTACACTAACTCTGGTAGCATAGTGCCTAAGGCACTTGACTGCTTACCAGAAGGCTGACGGTTCAAACCCACTGGCCACTCCTCGGAAGGAAGGTTGGGCAATCTACTTCTGTAGTGATACTGCCTCGGAAACCCAAAGAGGGGTCGCTATGAGTCGGTTCTGACTCGACGACGGCACATTAACAACAACAACAACAAGCAGATCTGCTACAAAAGACCTCTTTAAACTGTTTAACAGCAAAGATGTCATTTTGAAGACTAAGGTGCATCTGACCCAAGCCATGGTATTTTCAATAGCTTCTTTTGCATTTGAAAGCTGGACAATGAATAAGGAAGACTGAAGAATTTATGCATCTAAATTGTGGTTTTAGAGAAGAGTATTGAAAATACCATGGGCTGCCAAAAGAATGAACAAATCTGTCTTGGAAAAAGTACAGCCGGAAGTGCTCCTTAAAAATGAAAATGGCCAAACGTCATTTCACATACTTCGGTCATGTTGTCAGAAGTGACCATTCCCTGGTAAAGGATATCATGCTCAGTAAAGTAGAGGGTCAGCAAAAGAAGGGAAGACCCTCAAGGAGATGGGTGGATACAGTGACTGCAACGATGGGCTCAAGCATAGCAAGGATTGTGAGGATGGCGCAGGACAAGGCAGTGTTTTGTTCTGTGGTACACAGGATCACTATGAGGAGCAGCTGACTCGACAGCACTTAACAACAACAAAAACACAATTATTTTTATTAATTTCTTCTAATCACTCCATAGTGTGTGTGAGATACATTGTATGATTTGAATTTTTTACATTTTTGAGACTTGTTTTATGATCTAGCATCTTGGAGAATGATCCAGGCACCCTGAAGAGCAAAGTATATTGTGCTGTTTGTTGGGTGAAGTGTTGTATAAATGTCTATTAGGTCAAGTTGGTGTATTTAGGTCATTTAGGTCCTCTGTTTCCTTATTGATCTTTCTTCTATTTATTCTGTCCATTAGTGAATGTGCTGTATTGAAGTCTCCAGCCATTATCATAAAGTTATCTATTTCTCTCTTCAATTCTGTCAGTGTTTGCTACATATATTTAGGGACTCACATAACAACAATGTTAGATACATATATATTTAACACTGTTATATCCTCTTAATGAATTGACCCTTTTATCATATAATGTGTTATTTTTCTCATATAACAGATATTGATTAAAGTCAACATATTAATATTCCCACACTAGCTCTCTTTTAGGAGCTCTGGCAGCGTAGTGCCTAAGGCACTTAACTGCTAACCGGAAGGCTGGCAGTTCAAACCCAGCAGCCACTCCTTGGAAGGAAGGTTGGGCAATCTACTTCCATAATGATACCGCCTCAGAAACCCAAGGAGGGGTCACTATGAGTCAGGTCCAACTTGAGGGCACATAACAATACAACAACAGCAGCTCTCTTTTGGTTACTATTTACCTGGAATATTTGTTATCAACCTATTTGTGTCCTTGGGTCTAAGATGGATCTCATGTAGACAGCACATAGTTGGATAAATTTTTTCATATATCTATTCTGCTACTGTCTGCCTTTTTGTTAGAGCATTTAGTCCATTTACAGTCACTGTAATTACCAATAAGAAAGGACTTACATCTGCCATTTTGTTATTTGTGTGTGTCCTATAATACTCTACACACATGGAGTCACATGGTTGAGAGTGACACAATTGCAACTAACAACAACAAATGCCTTCTTTATCCCTTATTTCCTCTAATACTGCCAACTTTTATGGAATTTGGTTATTTCGTTTTTGTAGTGAGCAAATCTAATTCTCTTCTCTTTTGTGTTATTTTTAGGTGTTTTCTTTGTGAGTACCGAGTAATTTAAGCTTGTGATTTAATTATAATGTTATCTGCCAAGTTCCTCCATTCTACAATTTCTATTTTTCCTTTTCTACATTTACTAAATGATTTTCCTTATAGAAGAGCTTTTCCTTCTCTCCTATTTATTTGCCCACTTATTTGTTTTTATCAGTATGGACTCACTGATTCCTATTTTATTAAACAGATTATAACCTGCTACTATCATCATTTATAATGATATTCAGTTGCACAGAGTTGACCAATGGAATTCTTAATTTGTAATTTTGTAAAGTTGTTTTTATTTTGCATGAGCATATATTGCTTGTGTACTTATGAGGATAGCTAGTTTTTTTTAAATGGAAGTCAATGAGTAGTCTGATTTTTTTTATTGCTATAATGATTTGTAAGATCATGTTAAATGTTGAAATACTATGATTCTAAGAACATGCTGGAGTTTAAATTTTTCACATTAAAATATTTATACTTTCTTTTTTTTTTTTTTTTCAGGCTTAATAGTCCAAATGTAACAATAGACCCTGAGTTTAGACTATGGTTAAGCTCAAAATCAGACAGTTCTTTCCCAATTCCTATCCTTCAAAACAGTTTAAAGGTAAGGACAAAGTATAACAGATTTTTATATTGACTGAGGGACCCCTTTTGAATATGAATCACCTTGCTTTGTAATATGTTAAAGAAAGAGTGCTAATTTTAGTATGCCAAGTGTCTGCTCTTTGTTTAGCCCTATACTGAGGACCAGGAAGCATGCTACAAGACAAAATTCCTGTTTTCAAGTTATTCACAATTTAGGTTTTTGGTTTTTTTCATGCAAGAAATCTTGGTTTCCAATTGTTATAAACAATTATAAGAATTATAAATTATAAGAATATATAAAATTAACATTTTTTTCCTGTCCTTAGCTTCTCTAGTTTTTTCCTGTTTCATTAATTCTATGGAGAGGATCTGTTAGAAATCACGTTGGAATTATTGACTAAAATTTTCTAATTTAGGATTATCTGTGATTTCCACTCATATCTACAACTAAAGTTGCATAAATTCTAAGATTTGGTCAATCCTGTTGAACAAGGATATAATTGACCAAAAGATCAAATCTCAATAGTGGAGAAAACTAACTAATGATACAGGCAGAATTCTGTGCCCAGGCACATGAACACAGTTACTCTTCTACCTTTAACAAAACTGAAATGGGGATGGAGGAAATCAGGGTGAATGGGGCACTTTCCTGCTAGTGTCCCAACCCATCCCAAGGAGAAATCAAATTTACTCTTGGGAAACAGAAACTACTTCCTTTCATACATCTCCCTACTTCTTCCCAGTCTTCTGAGTATACATTTATCCAAGTGAACAGTACTAAACTACTTCCCAACAGCCCTGCTCCTAGAAAGAGAGAACACAAATTGAAGCAATCCACAACTCTTAGTCTGAGACTCAGGATTATGGTAGATAAATTCTAGCATGTTGTGATATCAAACAGCCTCCTCTCTTTGACCAAGAATGGGGAGGGGATGGGGGACTAGAAAATAGAAATGGTGGAGACAGAAGAATGAGGTGTCAGAGAAGGACAGACCTAAAAGGCACTGTCACCTTAAGTAGGTTCATTACTATAAATTGACTTTAAGTCTCCATCGATGTGAGCAACTTTTTCTTAATAATATATTTTTAATGTAATTTTAATCAGTGCATATATACAACTTTATGAGAGTTTTCACATCTAATTATCTCTCTATACAGAGAATATTATTTTCTTAATTAAAAAGTGAAGATCATCTGCAAATAATTAAGAAAAACACTAATATTCCTTTTTGAAAAAAATGGCAAATGACACAAGAGATCAATAAGCATATAAAGAAAAAAAGTTCAACCTCTAAATATTGAAAGAAATGCAAATCAAAAAAAAAATAGATACTTTTGACAATTCATCAAATTGGCAAAGATTGCTTTTAAAACAACTATGACAAGCAGCAAACAATTTATAATTTACTCCCAAGAGACAAAATAAATAATTTATGTGTTTGTGTCTTATGAATTAAAAAAAAAACAGCTATGATATAGTTAGTGCTGTTAAGGGTACTATGAAATGACCACTCAAACATAATGCTGACAAGGTAAAATCTTTCTGGAAGAGAATTTAGCAATATATGTAAAGAGTCTTTTAAAATTTTCATATAACTTGATCCAATGACCCACTTCTAGAGATCCATCTTATGAAAATAATCAGGGATGAGGTCAGTAATCATTCCAATATTATTCATAGCAATAAAAATATTTCTGTTCAACAATATAAATGGACAAATAAATTGTGGTATATTGATATGATGAAATAATATGTTGCCACTAAAAATTTTAAAGACTATTTAATGTGCCAACACTTACTGTATGAAGCAAAGGCAATATTCAAGGGAAATTTCCAGTGGTAAATGTTTATATTAAAAAATAAGGAAGATTTTAAATCAATAACCTAACTTTACAACTGAGAAACAAGAAGAGTAAACCAAGCACCAAAACTACCAGAAGGAAGGAAATAACACAGATGAAAGCAGACATTAATGGAATATAGAAGAGAAACACAATAGAATCGACAAAACCAGAAGCTGTTTTTGTTTTATAAATAAATAAATAAAATCAACAAACCTTTAGCTAGACTGACAAAAAAGAGAAAGGTACTGAAAATATCTAAAATTAAAAAATAAAAGTGGGAGCATTAAAACCAATCCTACAAAAATAAAAAGATTCGAGGCGGGGCAAGATGGCGGACTAGGCAGAAGGATTGCACAGACCCTCTTCAACAAAGAAAAGGGAAACCAATAAATACAGACACAGAAGATAATCTTGGACCCCTGAGCCTTGAAGGAAAGGATGCAGATTTGGACTAAACCCCAACTAGCAGAAGAATTTGCGTGAAAATA